GAGAGGGGTTGGAGAGATGGCTCTGTGGTTAAGAGCACTTGCTGCTCCTGCAGAGGGCTTGACTTTGTTTCCCAACACCCACATCTGGTAGCTCATAGCTGCCAGCTGCTTGTCACTCCAGCTCAGGGGGTCTAATGCCCTCTTCTGATCTCCGTGGGTACTGACACACATATGACATATAGAGACACACACTCATACACATAAATAAAAATAAATACAATGAAAATAAATAAGTAAGAACCTGACTCAGTGGTGGATGCCTTTAGTCCCAGCACATGGGAGGCAGTGGCAGGCAGATCTCTGTGAGACTGAGGCCAGCCTGGACTACAAAGTGAGTTCCAGGCCAGCTAGGGCTATAGGGAGACCCTGTCTCAAAAAACCAAAATAAAACAAAATGAAATTTAAATTGAGTAAAATATATCCATGGTGGAGTTCCTAACACCATCACTGGTAAGCAGAACCACTTCACATCTCATCTGCATTATTCTAATGGCTCCTTAATTTGCCTGCTCACTTTCCCCTTTCTCACCACCTTTCACTGACAAAGAAGACGGCTGCTGTTGTACTCTGGTTTCAGCACAGTCTCCCATTGCCATGGCTCCCCATTTCATCAGGAGAAAAGCCAAAGCTAAGAAGACTCTATGACATGGCCCCATCTTGCCTCTCTGACCTAAGCTCTTTCCAGGCTCTGCTCTGTACACTTTGCTCAGCCATCATGGTGTCTTTGATTCTCCTGAAATTTGACAAGGCCAAATAATTGATTTCATTATGGATGAGTGAAGGAGATTGTAGCAGGAGGCCTCCAAAGATGGCTTGGACCCAGAGCCCTGGGATTCAGTGAGAATTCACTTCACTTCTTGGTCTGCAAATAGCCCGCCAAAAGGAGCCCACACCTCCGTACAAAGCTGCAACAGGAGATAAGAAATTAGGTTTATACCTAAAATTATAACTTAGGCCAGCAAGGATATGGTGAAGCATTCACTAAAAATGAATGTAGATGAAGGTCAGCTTTGGAGCTGGTAGGACAAGCAACAGAGACCATAGTTATAAAAATGTTTAATTTGGTCTCTGAGTCATTTATATGTCAAGAATCATTTGATATATGAATTTGGAGCTTAGAAGGAGAGTTCTGATGTACACTTACATTGGGGAGCCACCAACTCAATTACTTAGTAATTGCAGCCATGAAATGAGACATGGAAGGGGTGCTTTTAACAAAAGCTTAGCTATGAAGCCCTTAAAAAAAAAACAAGAAATAGACAATATCCTTACCCATTGCCTCTGTATTCATGAATTCAAACAACCACAGATGACAATCTTGGAAAGTCAGGACATGAACTTCAGACTCCAGATCACTGTCCTACTGTCTCTTCTTTTTATTAATAAGATGGGTTTTAGGCATCATTTCTTCAAACAACTCTTTCAAAGACCATGAGTATTTCTCTCCCTGTACCTTAGCTGGGTCATATGTCCACTCCTAAATCAGGCTCCTGAATTGGTCTTTGTCATTGAAGGGTGAGTCACTGACTGATACTTGTTTCACCTGGCTAGTCTTGCTATACATCCTTTTATTTTAACCTGGGAAGAGTGAGCTTTCACTGGTAGTGGGAAATGGGATAGGTTCCCTTATATGCAGTGTCAGTTGGCATTTGAAAAGAAAGAGTCTCTTAAAAAAAATAAAAGGCTGGAGCAATGGCTCAGTGGTTAAGAGCACTGGCTGCTCTTGCAGAGCACCCACGTGGCAGCTAACAACTGTCCGTAATTCCAGTTCCAGGAGATCTGACAGCCTCCTCTGTTCTCCATGGACATTGCACAACACGGGTGCACTTACATACATGCAGGAAATACACCCATACACATAAAATAAAAATAATAAAATATTTTTAAAATAAAAGTAAGTAAAAATAAAAGGTAGATCTTGATTAAGTGATTCCATTGTGTAAAAACAAATATCCATTTATCTGTGGTGTTTAGAGAGGGTCTTGTTACATAACAAAACAAAAAATGTTTTAAAATTATAAATGTGTCACATTCCCTGAATGGATTTGAATCCTCTCAAACTCAGAACTTTGTTTCATCACCTCACGGGCCTCCATGAGCAATGAATGGCCAGTGGTGTCGAATGAAGGAGAGTGAGAATAGTCCACTAGTGATCCTTAACTTTTAAAAAATAAAAATGATGAGATTTACACATTAAGGTGAGAATTTTATAAGTTAATATTTCATATGAAATCAGAAAGCTCCTTCTACCCAATAGGCACAGCACCTGTGATTTAATGAGATTCACATTCTAGACAAAATTGGGCATAAGAATCAGAAAAGCATTCTGCCACGATAGATCACCAAGGTGCAGCACGGTCTTGTGAATCACCACACAGTGTCCATCTGAATCATCACTGACCAAAAGCCCAAGTATGCCTAGGTAGAAATAGCAGTTTCTGAACAGCTAGGAGGGGTGGGAGTGGATGAAGACTAAGAGTAGCAGGCAGGCTTCTGCCTAGTTCAAACTAATCGTGATCCATAAACGTCACTATACAGTTCATCGAAGCAGGCCCTATCATGTCCTGAATTCAATTTTGGTCAAACAGGGCTGATGCTTATTTTTCTGCTTAACAGTCAGTTGTGCCACTTCCCATTCTAGAATCAGCAAGATCTCTAGAACTCATTCATTTGCCTTTGCATTTACTCATGCATCATGGATTCAACAGATGCCAGTTTCATCCCAGGCGCCAGGAGTTCAGACCAATGTGTGCGTCTTTGTTTTCAAGCACTTCACAATCTGGTCCAGCACCTTAAGATCCAGTTGTGAATGATTTTAACTGGATGGTGTCCATCTAATTAATTCACTGCTCTTTAAAGTTTCATTCCTCTGAGCGTGTATAATTAATAAAAGCCTCTAAATTTTCTGGTCTCTCCAACTTTATACAAAAAGCAGTGTAAAATGACAAATGTATAATGCTAGTTTTAAAACAGTGGTCTTATTTCAGTAACTATAAAATTAATTAGAAACAATTACCTTTTATTTTGTAAAAGAAATACAGTCGTGCATTGTGACTTACACACCTATCATCCCAGCAGAGTCCAAGGCAAGAGGATAACTTCAAGCTAGAGGCCAACGTAGGACACAATGTGAGATCCTGTTTCGGGAAATGGGGGGAAGGAGGGAGAGGAGGAGGAGAGGGATGAGGAGAGGGGCAAAGAGGAGGGAGAAAGAAGGAGGAAGGTAAGGAAGAAAGGGAGGGAGGGAGAGAGAGGGAGAGAGGGAGGAAGGAAGGAAGGAAGGAAGGAAGGAAGGAAGGAAGGAAGGAAGGAAGGGAAGGAAGGAAAGGAGGGGAAAGGATGAAAGAGAGGCATAAGTCAATGGAAGTTGTACCCTTGAACTATTTTAGGTATGTAAAAATATTTTGTAAATAAGGTTCATAATGAATAGAAAAATATGCAAGAGAAGCATTAAATGAGTGACTCTAGGCAGACCCAGAGATAAAACAAATATTGCAAGCCAGGTGTGATGGCACACATTTTAATTCTACTGGAGAGAGACTCAGGTGGATCTCTGTGAGTTTTGAAGCCAGCCTGGTCTACATAGCAAGTTTCAGGTCAGCTGGGGCTACACAATGAGACCCTATTTAAATATATATATAGTCAGTATACCAGCCTACTTTTGGGAAAATTTTTTAAATCTCTTAAATATAAAGAAGGCTATTTCAGTGAAATTATTAATCTAAATCAAATATGTTTATTTAATTTCTTGTTTCCTAAGTAAGTTAACATGAGTATTTTTGTGCTTCCAAAGTTCAAATAACCATTCATATTTTCCATGGTTACCAGTAGTCACAGCCAATTAACTGTGAGTTAACAATTAATTCACAAGATGATCATGTTCCTCCTACCCTGTTCTCATGTATTTACCTAATAGCACAACTGCCTTATAATCTACTTAGGTCATTATCCTCATTCATTTGCTTAAACAATATCACTGAGATTAAATATATATAAGGCAATATGCAAAAGCTGTTTTGTTGTCAACAAGCCCACACTTTAGAAGATGCAAGAAGACATGAAATCACATTGCCTCAAAATCCTGTGTCACATTAGAGACACCATGAGAGAGATGCAATGCATGATATGAGTTGGAGAGAGAGCAGGTGCCTAATGAGGGTAACAGGGAACAGAGGAGCTTTGAGGAGGTTCTGGTGTTTAGCACAGTCTTAATATATGCAGGGCAGAGACAAATGAAAGATAGTATAGTCTGGGGACAAGCATATTGTGAAAAGATGAGGCATTTTAGGTTGGTAAGAATATGAGAGAGAGAGAGAGAGAGAGAGAGAGAGAGAGAGAGAGATTTGAAAGAAAAACTTGGGCCAGGAATCAGTTATCTGGTATTAATAGCATAATCAATTAATGGTGTTTTGAATCTAAGTAATAGATAAAGAATCTGATAAAGAGTAATAAATAATTGAAGAAAAAAATGATCCCAAGTTCAAAGAAAACTAGACCTAACTGGTAATTAAAGAAACAGAGAATCTCTACTCCACTAATTATAAAGCACCCCTTCCCTTCCCGCCCATCAGCAATGGCTTTAAAATGTGCAAGCCAGAAATAAAAGAACTGTCACAAATCACTCAAGATGTGCCATGTTAGGTGTGGTTGGGACGGGCTTTCAGAAGTCTCCTTTGCTTGCCAGAAATACATTCATACTACAATTATTTTAAATCATTGCCATATCTACATGACAGAACTCGTCTGCATGATTCAGTCTATGAGTCATGGCAGCCCATGGCGTGACCAGCACATTTACAATATGAATAATTTAATATTTCCATCTCTAAAGGGGATTCTTCACAGTGGGGCATCCATGTCACAGTCTCTCATGCAGCCACTGAAAATTATTTAGAAATACACCTGTTGACTGGGAAGAATTTCTACAAGGCAGTTGTAGAAATAACCAGTTATTGAGTAACTGCCATCTCACTACTATCTTTTTTTTCTGTTCTTTACCAGTTGAAAGCACAAACATAGTCCCCTACAACCACAAATTATGGAGTCATGTTTTTCACGTTTGGTGAAGTTGTAGGGGCAAGCCCACTCGGAGTGCAGTGGATAAAATTCATTCTGGGAAAACCACTATCCTGAGCATGGCATCTCTCTCTCCCGCCAGGTAAGCACTGATTCTCTTATATCATATAACAATACTGGAGCAACGAAACCTTCAGATAGACCTGAAAGTTGACAGAACCAGGATTTCAGGTTGGGTTTGTTAAAATCTCTATGTGGCTGCTCATCACACTTTCATGACCCCAAATACTACCACACCACCATTAAATGCCATGCACTAAAATGTATACCTCCAGAGCAGTATGAGTTTTTGATTAAGTGTAAGATATCAGGATATTTTGTTGTTGTTTGGTTTTGGTTTTGTGGGGAGGTTTGTTTGTTGTTTGATTGTTTTCATTTAGAATTCTTTCGGGGTAAAGATACAGAGCTGAGTGCATCTATCACTTTGCAGGAGAGAGTTTTAGACTGTGCTTGGTTAAAAAGTATTTTATCTTCTCTACTTGCTCCCATTTTCCCTTATATTATTTTTCTCCTTCTATTTTAACCTACGGTTGAAATACAGTACTTTCTATAATTTCTATCTACTTCATAGCAAGAGTATTTTTAACTTCCTAGTATAATTTTTTAAGTTCCTAGAATAATTTCATTTTAGTAATTAACAGGCCTGGAACTATGTAATAGACAAAACACAAAAGGCATACATAGTTTAAATGTGTTCATTCCCTAGCCCTTTCCTAGCTTTAGGGCAAATGCCTGCAAAACTCAGAAAGAAAGGGGAAGAGGGGACTGGTCACCATTCTGTCTCTCTATCTAGTCTGTAATTATCTGTGTGCCATTGATTTCTGGCCTGGTTGAACTGCGCTCAAATATGCTCTAAATAAGTTCAATGCTGGAATTTCATTGAAATTTGCTTATGGCCCAAGAGTAAGCTGATTTTTTTTAAAAAAAAAAATTCTCTTTGGCCAGGTCTAGTGGCACAGGACAGGCCTGTAATAGTAGCTACTAAAGAAGACAGAAGCAAAAGGATCCCAAGCTCAAGGCCAGCCTACAACTTGGTGATATCCCAAAGTAAAATATGGAAAGGACACTGGGATGTAATTCAGTGGTAAAGTGCTTACCTAGCATGTGTAGGGCCTGCATTCACTCCCCAGGAATTAAAAAGTAATAATAAAATAAAATCTCTGGCCTGCATGTCCATGATCCCAGCTAGCCTGAGCTACATGGTAAGACTCTATCTCCAAACTAAACAAGGCAAATTGAATTTTTTCTCCATTACTAGAAAAGAATGTATGTTCTACAAATATTAGGTGCTCTATTCCCCATGACATAGGTGGAGAGTTGTTTTTGTTGTGAGGCAAGTCTTACTTTGTAGTTCAGGTTGGCCCAGAACTACAGATTCTCTTGCCTTAGCCTCCTGACTCAGATTACAGTTCAGTGGCACTGAACTCCAGAGAAGGTTGAGTTTTTAATAATGTTAATATCTTTTAAAATTCTTTCTACCTAATTCTTTTGATTATTGATGCAGTTACCTTAAATTACTATAGTTGTACACTTGCCCACTTTTTTCTAACACCTCCACAAAATTTGGCCTTATGTATTTTGAAGGTATGTTACTAAATACTTTCAAATTCATGTGTTTTTATGTGCTGTTTTTTGGGAGGAAGAAGTTGAAACAAAGTCTCATATAGCCCAGGCTAGCCTCAAATTTTCTGTGTAGTCAGAAATAAACTTTAATTCCTGATCTTCCTGCCTCCACTGAGTCCTGGGATTACAAGCATGTACCACAAACTTGGCTATTGTAAGCATTTATATCATAAGCAGTACACAGATTTTATAATTTTATCCAATTTTATATTCCCTGTCTTTTAATTAGAATACTCAATGTAATTACTGATATATTTGTATTAAAGAAACATGATCGAGCCAGGCACTGTGGCTCAAATCTCTAATCCCAGCACTTGGGAGGCTGAAGCAGGAGGATCACTGAAAGTTCAAGGCCAGTCTGGGCTACACTGTGAGTTCTAGGACAACCTGGGACAATATGAGGTCTTGTCTCAAAAAATAAATAAAAAGAAAAAATAAAAAACAAAAAAAAAATAAAAAGAAACACAAGCTTGAGGGGTTGGAGAGATGGCTCAGTGGTGAAGAACACTGACTGTTCTTGCAGAGGACCCAGGTTTGAGTCCCAGCACCCACATGGCAGCTAACAACTGTCCGTGACTCCAGTTCCAGGGGATCCGACGGCCTCTTCTGTCCTCTGCGGGCATTGCATGATATGGGTGTGCTTATCTACATTCAGGCATAACGCTCATACACATAAAGTGAAAATAATAAATGAAATATTTTTTAAAAAGAAAAGAAACACAAGTTTGAACAAAATATGCTTTATATGTTTGACTTAGAAATAACATATATTATGAAGTTTCTCCAAACTTTTCCACAAACTGAAAGTGAACTTTCTCATGTAATCTAGTCTATTAGATAATGGGTAAACTGTCTCAAATAAGGTTTGTCCTTCTCACTATTCCCTGGTTCATACAATCATAGTACCTCCTTTAATAGTTTCATCCCCGCTCCTATGAATTCACCCATCTATTCCTCACTATTACAGCCTCCATCAACAGAACAACACGTGGATCAGTAGCTCAGCCCAGCTATTATCTTCTTTCAATTCTCTCTGGTCACTACTGCAAAACAAATCATCGCAGCATACCATTATCTTACTCTCTTACGAAAAATATTAGCCGGGTGTAGTGGCAAGCACTCAGAATCCCAGCACTCAGGAGGCTGGTGAGAGAGGACCAAGGGAAGGTTTGAGGCACTCATTTGAGATATATATACATATGGAGTTTTGGGCTATGTAGTAAGGTCTTGTCAAAAAAAAAAAAACCAACAAAGAAACAAAGCATTTATGAAGACATCTGATGATGTTCTGAGATGTAGCTCAGTCAGTAGAGTGCTTGCTTAGCTTGAACAAAGTCTGAGTTCAATCCCCAGCACAGCTGCACTAATGAGATGGAGGCAGGAGAAACAGGAAGGTCAGTGTAATTCTTGGCTATGGAGTGAATTTGAGGCTAGCCTCGACTACCTCAAACCCTATCTCAAAGAAAGAGAGAGGAGACTCATAGAAAGACAGATGCAGAGAAAGAGGAAGAGAGACAGAGAAACACAGAGACATGTGTTCTAGAAGATTGTGACAACTTGACATTTCAGTTGAATTTATGAGAGTTGGGTTAGTTGGAGGTAGGGGGAAAGGACACTGGATAATGTCAGACAAATGTCTCATAGATGTATCATAGACCAGTGAATAAGCTGGAAATTTGCATTTGACTCCAGTAAACTTTTATTACAGGGTTTTATTCTTTAACATTAGAGAAAAGTTA